CTCAGTCGGGGGGCGGCGGCGGCGGCGGCTCCGGGGATGGCGGCGGCTCCGCTGCTGCTGCTGCTGCTGCTCGTGCCCGTGCCGCTGCTGCCGCTGCTGGCCCAGGGGCCCGGGGGGGCGCTGGGGAATCGGCATGCGGTGTACTGGAACAGCTCCAACCAGCAGTGAGTCGGGGGCCGGGGAGCTCGTGTGTCCCGCGTCAGTGACGGGGGCCGGTGGGCCCGGGAAGTCCTGGGGAACCTGGGGTGGGAGCAGGGCTGGGGGCGGGAGGCAAGGGAGAGGAGGACACTCTACCGGCGTCTGTGAAACTTGGGGGGGAGGTCTGAAAGAGGCCGTTAAGGTATAGTAAGGAGGGCTTGGGCGTGCGGAGGAGGCTGCTCAGGGAACCCCACCTTGGCTTTTCCCCGCATCCGCCGCTAGAATAGCGTACCCCCATCACACAGTCCCCCCGTCCTCACCCCCTTCCAGCGGGGCTGGGGTTGAGGAGTATCCGCGTGCTGGGGATAGGCCGCCGGCACTCGGGGGGCCCAGGGATGACCTGTTTTCAGTGGAGAGGATTTCAAGGGGTTATGTCTTGGACTCCTGCCTTCAAAAGTGGGGTCCAGAGCTGAGGCAGGGAATCCGACTGAGCACCGCCTCAGGACGCAGGCGAAGGGGATGTCCTGGTCGTGCGGATAAACCTGGCCGGGGTGAGCCGGGCCTGGGTCGCCGAGTTAGGGCGCCCTGGGGGTGCTGCTTGGTCAGGATGGGGACGTGGGGTGCCGGGGAAAGGGAAGGAGGCAGAGAGATGCCGGCGTATCACACACGCACGCACACGCCGGGGCTGGGGACGGCGTGTGGCTCCAAGTGTGAGCGGGCGTGCGCGGCTGTCAGTGTGCGTGTGTCTGAGTGTGTGATTTGTGTGTCTGCGTCGGCGATCGTCTGGGGGTGGGAGCGGGCGCCGGGTCCGGGAAGGGGCTGCGGTCGCTGTCCGCGTGGCGGGCCGCGTCTGGGTTCGGGTGGCTGTCGGCGCCGCCGCGGTCTGGGCGGGTGTCAGGGCGGCCGTGTGGTTTTCCGGGTGTGTGGCGCGGCGGCTGGGTGCCGGCTGCGGGGCCAGGTCCTCATTCGGCTCAGTCCTCGCTGCCCTTGTCTTCTCCTGCCTACCGAGTCGCCGTGTGGATCACCCCAGCCGCCGCCACCGTGTGTGTCTGTGTGTTGGGGGGGATCCCTGGGGACGCGGGGGTCACTGTCACACCTGCCCAGGCGGCGGCAGCGGCGGCACCGCTCCTGACTCCCCACCCCGGGGAGGGAGGGCGACTCGGGAGCAAAAGCGAGTCCCCCGGGGAGGGGACCGGGAGGGCCGCGCGGCTGCGACCCCCAACCTCCCGGGGGAGGGGCTGCCGCTCGCTGCTCCGCTCTTTGTTGTTTGGGGCTCCGCGCCTCCCCCTCTCCCTCCTCGCGCCCGGAGTGTCAGACTGGGGGTGGGGATGAGCCAACGACGCCCCCCTCTCGCTTCCCTTGGAAACCTCGGGGTGGGGATGCGGCCCCTCCCCCCAGGAGCGGGACTCGGAGAACTCCGGCGGCGCTGGGGGCCGACTCCCCTGCTCTATCTAGCTCGTCCTCCTCCCCCAGACTCATACGTCCGCCCCCCGCCCCGCTAGAGTCTGGCGGGGAGCGAAGAGCGCGCAGGTGAGGGGCCCGGGTTCCCCACCGCCCTCCGGGCACTCCTGCGTTCTTAGCGGAAGCCAGAGCCAGGGGTATGCGGGAATGGCCGGGGCGGCAGGGTGTTGTTGATCAGGTTCCCCTCCCCCGCATACACCTGGGCGCAGGTGAAAGCCCTGGGAGGGGATGAGGAGCCCGGGGTTCGGGAAGGAGCCTCCTTTCTGTCTTCCCTGCTCCCCGCAGGTCTGGACCGGCAGCGGTGGGAGGGGGTGCGCACCAGGCCGGGAGGCCGCCGCCGCCCCCGCCTCGCTTCCTCGGCCTTTGTTGCCGCTGCGCCGGGCTCCCCGGCTCCCTCACTGCGGCAGCCGCGGCCCCATAAATCGTGAGAGCGACGTGCTCCGGAGCCGGGAGTGGAGAGGGCCAGGGAGCTGGGGGCGGGGCCGGGCCGAGCCACAGGCTCCCGCGCCCCCTCCCCCCGGTCACGTGAGCTGGGTTCCTGGCTCCCACCCCCGTCACGTGCGGAGGGTCTCTTCCCCTTGGGGTCACGTGGAGAGGGTCTTGCGACCCCTCCTCCTAGGGGTCACGTGGGAGGGTGCTCCTGGGACACGTGCGGCGGCCTCCTTTGACAGACCCGGGGGCCTTGCCCTGCGCGAGGCCGCGATCTCGGCCCCTGCCCTCCGCACTCACCCCCACCGTTTGGTCCCCTGGAATAGGCCAGACCTGTTCCCAACGTGGCCGAGAAACTAGGGATGGGGGGACTATACTGGAGGGAAGCGTGAGAGTGTGAGGTCGAGAGGGCCCCTGAGCCCGGAATGAATGGGGGCGGGCGGCCGAGGGCCGAATGTGCGCGCCCCGGCCTGTGCGCCCTGACCCGGGCTTCGTTTCCATGCAGAGCCGAGCAACGGTGTCGGTGCCCGCCCCTGCTCGGAGAGCTTCGGGAACATCTTTCTCTAGCTGTCTCCTACCTGTCTCTTTATCTCTGAGATGTTTTCGCTCTCATCTGTCTTTCGTTCATACATTCATTCAGCAAGTATTTATTGAGGCTCCACCACATCCACGCGGGCCTCTCCCTGTCTTCCCCTGACACCGAGTGCGCCCGCGCCCCTTCCCTGCCCGGCGCTCTTCGCGGCTCGCCGTCTCCTGCTGGCTGTGGGCCTCTGTGCACCGGCCTCTCCGTCTCTCCCTCCAGGTCTCTGGTCCTCGTTCTCGTCTCTTTCTCCCGGCTTCTGGACCCCTCTCTTTCTCCGCGCCTCACTCCCTTTCCCGGATTTCTCAGTGGATCCGGACTCTAATCACCTGCCCTCTCCGTGTGCGTTTCGCTCTCACTCGGCTTCTGTGTGGCTCGCTTTCGGCCGGGCTCTCGCGCTTCTCCGCCGCTGCAGATCAATAAACCTTCGCCGCCGCCGCTGTCGCAGGGAGGAGGGGCGGGGATGTGGGGCGCGTTGATTCTCTCCCACCCAGCGCCGGGGGGAGAAGCCCGAGGCCCAGTCCAGGGATGGCTAGACTCGGCGGGGCGGGGTGCGGAGCCCGAGGGCGCCCAAGGGGTGCGGGGGTGTCAGCGAGCACGCGCCGTCCCGCGAGCGTTCCCGCCACCCAGCCACCCCCAGCCTGGCGCGCGGACCCCACGCCGCGCACACGTGGTCCGGCCTCGCCTGCTGGAGCGAGCGGCGCGCAGTCTCGGGCGCGCGCGCTAGAGGGGTCCGGTGTCTTTACATCCCTCCCGCACTTCCTTAGCTCCGCATCCCGGTGTCTCGAGGTGGGGGCAGGGCTTTGACAAGTTCAGGGCCCCTTGGGACCCTTCCCCTACTCCCTGGTCGTTTAGACGCCCTGTTTACCTGCTCCTAATTGCCCCAGGAGGAGAGGTTTGCTCCTTCCGACTCGCCCCGCCGCCCACCCTCCCGGCTGGAGCAGAGGGAGCATTGAAGGAGCGGGAGACCGAGGTCGGAATGCGCGCGGGGTGGTGAGGGCCCGGAGAGGCGAAATAACGGAGTGGGGGCCACCCCCTCCACGTGGGGTGTGTCGGCACTCGCCTTTCTTGGAGAGAGGTGGGAGGCTAGTAGGGGATGAGTGAAGAATAGAGCACTGTTTGAAGGGGCGGGCACAATCCAGTCCCCAGATCCCTGCCCGCCCCACTCCCAGCCGGGGGTGCGGCTCTGGGGGAGGGGTTAGCAGCGAGCTTCGCCAGGCCTGGTGGCACCTCCCTCCTCAGCGCCAGGACAGGATGACAGATTCAATAAAAGCTCCCAGGCCAAGCCAAGCTGACACCTCAAGTCTCCAGGAGTGTAGCTGGGGACTCCGCCCCCCCCCCATTCCGGCTGGGCACGGCCATTCCACAAGTTCTTTTTCTCTCACGTGTCCAGTGTTGGGGGCATTTCAGGGCGCTGCTCCTGCCTCCCAGCCCAGGGATAGGTAAGAGGTGGCTTCTCTTCACCCAGCAACCTTTCTATAAGGCTAGTCCCCACCCCGTTGGAGAAACTGAAGTACCTGTTGGAAAAGGTCTGGCTTTGGATTACTCTCTGCTAGGAGGGGGTGTGTTACAGGGGAAGTGGGCAGTGCCCTCAGGGAGGGGCCACCTCAGAGCAGGGCTGGACACCCAGCCGAGGCTCAAGGACAGAAGCCCCAGCGTGGCTATGCAGCTGCTCCAGGCCTGGCCCTACCGCAGGTGGCCACCTCAGAGCTGTTGGCGGAGGAACATAGACTTTGGGATCGGGTACAGAGAAGCAAACCTGGGGTGGCGGCTGGGAGCCAGGCCTGGTCTAACTCGTTTTCCTGCTCCTGGTGCCTCAGGCCGAGACTCCTGCCCACCTGAGTGCCAGGGCCAGGGAGGGGCCTGAGTGACCCATCACTCCCGTGGGAACCGAGTGGGGCTGGTGACATCCCTGATGACTCAAGGAGCTGTGCCCATTCTTCCTGGCGTGTCCAAGCACTAACACTCACCTGTCCACCTCACTGCCAGGCTTGGGGAGGGGGCAGCACAGGCGAGGCCGAGGAAGCAGGGTACGGTGGGGAGGGACCCTCAGGCCCCACCCCGTGCAGAGGCCTCCAGCTCCTTTCCCTAAGAGAGCTAATTACTGTTTGTGGAACTGGGAGGTGCCTGGTGGCATAAAGAGCCCGTCCCTCCCCTCGGGGAGTTCCCAGGGACCAGGGACCCCAGTGGTTTGACAGCTTGCCCAGGATCCCATGCCTTCCCGCGTCCACCATGCTCCCTCTCACTGCCAAGGTATGCACACCCCGCTCTCAGGAAAAGCCCATCTGTCTGAGCCTCCTGCTCAGATGGCTCTGTCAACCCCACTGCCATCCTGGGCAGTACGACCAGGGCCTAGCTGATGGCTGGTGAGCAGGCGCAGATTACAAGGACCCAGCATCTGCTTCTCTGTCCCATAGGTGGCTGGGGGAAGTAGGAGGCACAGCCATCTTGTCTGGGCGCTGTGCCCACTGATCTGCCCAGCATCACTAAGAGGCAGTGGTGCCCGGGTTGAGGGGGGACATGTGTAGGGACAGCAGTTTTGGCTGCTTGGCATGATACCACGTGGAGCCTTGATACGGAGTCTCTTAGCTCCCTCCTCTGTCGTGTCACATTACTGGGGACCTAACTGCCCAGAGCCTCCGGATGGAAGTCAGTGGGACTCGAGGTACAGAGACCAGTGGTACTGCAGAGAGAGATGTGCCAGTGTTGGGGGGGCAGGTCAACCAATACCGGCATGCGATCCGGCCCATACAACCGAGCCTGTCTGTGTGTCTGCCGCCTGTGAGTGGGCGGTGGGCGTATTTGTGTGTGCGCCATAGAACTATGCGTGTATATGCACGAAGCCTCCGTACATGCGTGTGTGAGGGCAGGTCCTGTGGGACTGGCCGTGGCGCAGACAGGAAGGCATGTAGGGGGCGCGCATCTATCCGAAGGGGTCCCTCCCGCTTTCAACCTTCCCGTCTCTGCCTAGATCCTTCCTCCCCACTGGTGGATTATGGGGGATAGATGGAGGAAATCCGGGCCTGGGTCTGGGAGTCGCGGGGGCCTGAGCCGTTACTGTGGTAACTAAACGTGCGTTCCCTCCGTCCCTCCACCTTTCTGCCCGCCTTTCCTTGGAGGCGGGCCGGGCTTCCCCGCGCCTTTGCTGCCCTCTGGTGGCCGACAGGAGAAGGGCCGAACAAGGAGCGGGCAGGGAAGGCCATTGCGGGGACTGGCGGCACTAGGGCCCTGGGGACAGGCAGGGACCGGAGGGAACGCTCTGAAGAAAAGCCGGGAGGCTCGAAGCCCTTGGGGAGGGCGCGCGGAGCGGAGAGGTGGAGGACGGGTCGGCGTGGCGGTTCTTCTCTCTGACCCGCTGCCGGTCCCCCGCAGCCTGCGGCGAGAGGGCTACACGGTGCAGGTGAACGTGAACGACTACCTGGACATTTACTGCCCGCACTACAACAGCTCGGGGCCGGGCGGCGGGGCGGAGCAGTACGTGCTGTACATGGTGAGCCGCGCGGGCTACCGCACCTGCAACGCCAGCCAGGGCTTCAAGCGCTGGGAGTGCAACCGGCCGCACGCGCCCCACAGCCCCATCAAGTTCTCGGAGAAGTTCCAGCGCTACAGCGCCTTCTCGCTGGGCTACGAGTTCCACGCGGGCCACGAGTACTACTACATCTGTGAGTGGCAGCCGGGCTGGGGCCCCTGGGCCGGGGGCGGGCCGGCGCGCCGTCGCGGGGCTCCGTCTCTAGGCGTGGTACCCCGCCACACAGCGTGGGGCCCGGGGACCTCGGGGTTGCAGCTCAGACAGGGTCGTGAGAGTATGAGGGGCTTGGTGACAACCCGAAGTTCGGGTCGCAGAGTCACCGTTTCTGTGCGGGACATTCGGGGGCGGCACTTCAGGGCTCAGGGATTCTTGAGGGGTGGGACCGAAGGGCCTGGTGGCAGAGCCCCGTGACCAGTGTCCGGGGGCCCGGCAGCTACTGAAGGAGACCGCCCGGGAGGGGCGGGACGCCGAGAGGAATTTGAGGGAGGCGCGGGCCGCACCCCCGAGACCGCCACTCAGGCCGCGTGTCCTCCCCAGCCACGCCCACCCACAACCTGCACTGGAAGTGTCTGAGGATGAAAGTGTTCGTCTGCTGCGCCTCCAGTGAGTACAGCCGGCTCCCGGCCGCCGCCCCATCCTCGGCTCCCCTGCTTCGGGGCTCCCCTGGCTTCCTGGCGGTGGGGGCGGAGGGCACAGGCGAGGGGACTCACTCCCCAGCCGTAGCAGGGGGAGGGGATTCTGGCCCTGACTGTCCCCTCCTCTCTCCCCACCCGCCCCCCTCCCCGCAGCACCGCCCTCCGGGGAGAAGCCGGTCCCCACTCTCCCCCAGTTCACCATGGGCCCCAATGTGAAGATCAACGTGCTGGGTGAGTGCGCAGCGCCCTCTGGTGGCCACTGCCGGAACCGCAGTCCCCTCCCCGGGGCCTGCTCGCCTCGCATGCCTCCCTCCGCCCCCGGGACACCGAGCCCTCCTACCCCCGTGGGTGGTCACGTCCCGGCTCCCCCGCTGCTGCCGCTGCCGCGCGCCCCCGCCTGGCGAGCAGCCCGGCCCTCACCAGTGTGTCTCCTCATGTCCCCACAGAAGACTTTGAGGGAGAGAATCCCCAGGTGCCGAAGCTGGAGAAGAGCATCAGCGGGACCAGCCCCAAGCGGGAGCGCCTGCCCCTGGCGGTGGGCATCGCCTTCTTCCTCCTGACACTCTGGGCCTCCTAGCTCTGCCCCTCCCCTGCCGGGGGGAGAGATGGGGCAGGCCGGGCGGGAATAGGGGGCCTTCGGCCTCTCCGCGGGGAGCCCAGCCCCCGCCCGGCAGTGAGGCCCTCCTGCCCCTCCCCCCCGTAGGGCGCTGTAGTGGGGCAGCCGCAGGTCCCAGGGGCCTCGTGGCTCTGGTAATGTTTGGTACCAAACTGGGGGCCGTAAGGGCAGCGCTCAGGACTCCCTGCCCCCCGGTACCTTTCTCTGATCCCCTGCGCCCTCCCGCTTCGTCCCCGCAGATAGACGAGCAAATCGAAGCGTGGAAGACACCCCCACCCCTGTCTTCCAGGGGCAGAAAACGGGGAGGGGACTAGGTGGGGAGGGGGTGGCATCGCCCGCGGTTCCCTTCCCCTGTTTACAGCAATAAGCACGTCCTCCTCCCCCCACTCGCACCCCAGGATTGTGGTTTGGATTGAATCCAAGTTTACAAGTAGACACCCCTGGGGGGGGCGGGCAGTGGACAAGGGCAGCGCGGGGTGGGCACTGGGTGCCAGGCAGGCATGTACAGACTCTATATCTCTATATATAATGTACAGACGGACAGAGTCCCTCCCCCTCCTTAACCCCTGACCTTCCCTGACCCCCCCCTCTTCCAGCTTCGGGCCCCATCCCCACCAGGCTACCCCCCAGGGGGACCCCCTGGCCCCTCTTTTGTCTTCTGTGAAGACAAGACCTATGCAACGCACAGACACTTTTGGAGACCGTGAGAACAATGCCCTGTCCCCTGCAGCCGGGAGCCTGAGGCTCCCAGGACCCTGCCCTGCCCGCCCTCCGTGGTCCCCACCCATTCTCCTGGGCCTTTTTCAAGTGCTTTGGCTGTGACTTTCATACTCTGCTCTTAGTCTAAAAAAAAAAATAAACGAGATAAAAATAACTGAGTGTGTGTGACTTCCAGGGGCCAGTAGCCTTCTGTACACCGGTCAGACCCTCCCAGGTCACAGGGCCTGTGGGGGGTAGGGGACTCTGGGGCCAAAGGGACAACTGAGCACCTTGTTCTCCGTCTTGTCTCCTTTAAAGAGGCGGCTCTGTGTGGAAGGAGCAACAGGGGCCTCCCGCTGGGCCCAGAGGACCCGGGGCACCCCGTCCAGCCTCTCTGAGCCTCAGTATCCCATGAGGAGCAGGATTACGACACGCCTGTCAGGGTCAGCGTGAGCGTTAGACGACGGAGTTTGAGGCTCAGTCAGTGGTGATTTCCTCCCACCCCAGTTTGTGATCCTAGATAGGAAAAAAATTGCATCTTTATTTTTACTCACCTGTGGCTGAAATTTAACGTTCTCTTACGCACTTGGGCAACAAGCCACAACAATTAACTGCCTGTGACTTCTTAACCAGCAGGAGTCACAGAGGTTTTCGGACTGCGTCACAGGTTTTGAAGATGTCTCTAGTTTTACTCCCAAGACTACTCTGAACCGACCACAGCTGTTAGACCTGCCCTGTTTTTAATGTTAAGAAGCACATCTATTACTATGCCCCAGAAAGTAAATGTTTGATAACTGTTTCAATATCATCGGTTTCCTTTGTAATTTTAATTTATTCCTTTAAGACGTTAAGGCCAAAGGGCTGAGAATTTGCAGCAATGCCCTGCCCCCCCCCCACATCCGTCTGCAGAGTGAGGGGACTGAAGGGGCAGAGGAGGAGTCCCAGGCCCCATCTCAGGAGCCGGCGCCCTGCCCAGGCTGGGCGAGGTCGGGGCTGCACAGGGGGGCACGGTGCGGGGGAGCCGATGGGGCCCACACCGGCCCCGCCTTCTTTTGCCCAGCTGGCCCAGCGAAGGGCGCCTTCTCACTGCCAAGCTGTGCACCCTTGGGACTCCATCTCGCCTAGACTCTCTAATTGGCACTGTGTGGGCCGGTGGGCCCTGGGTGAGCGCCCCTCCTGTGTGCCCCCCTGCGGCTTTTGCCGGCGCCATTGCGGGCACCGCGTCTTCTCCCCTCTGCACTCAGAAGACAGGGGACGCAGAATCTCAGCGCGGCCCTGGCAGAGCAGGGAGGCGTGGCGTGGGAGGACAGGTGAGGAAAATGGGACAGCCGGTCTGGGGCTCCCTGCCCCGGGCCAAGGCTGAATAGGCAGGCTCGTCCACCCGGTCCTGGGTTCAGGGGACACTTGTCCTGGGCACTGGCGTGGAAGAAGGTGGTCCTGCCCTCCAATAAGCTCACGACTGAGTTAGCGTGTGTTGGTACGTGAAGAGGAACCAGGAACACATGCGCACACGCGTGCACATGTGCACACACGTGCACACACACAGCGGCATGACCAGGGTTACGTGGTTACATGCCATGAGCCTGTGGGAACGTGAAGAAACAGCAGCCTCTCACCTGGGGACAGCCGAGGAGGCTGCCAGGAGGAGGAGGGGCACAGAGCTGGGTCCCCACAGGGCACAGTCGTGACAACCTTGAGGCCGAGGAGTGTGGGTTTGTCCCATGATGGAGCCACAGCAGTGGGCTAGGCTGCCGGCTCCCTCGATTCCCGGGGGCGTGAGGCGGGGCCTGGCCAGCTGGGATGGGGAGGGCCTGTGGGCTCCAAATCCCAGGGACAGGGGGCTTAGAAAAGGCAGCCGGGCACCAGGGATGGCTGGGCACAGTCATGACAACCTTGAGGCCGAGGAGTGTGGGTTTGTCCCATGATGGAGCCACAGCAGTGGGCTAGGCTGCCGGCTCCCTCGATTCCCGGGGGCGTGAGGCGGGGCCTGGCCAGCTGGGATGGGGAGGGCCTGTGGGCTCCAAATCCCAGGGACAGGGGGCTTAGAAAAGGCAGCCAGGGACCAGGGCCGGCTGGCTCCATTGCTGAGTGCCTACTGAGCGCCAGGCAGGCACACTCCGCGCCTCATGAGCACCGTGCCCTTGGGGGCCTCGCTGTCCCGACAGGACCGATGAGAAAACGCCCAGGGGCCTGGGGCTCTGTCCCCTGGCTAGGGTCACACGGCCTGGTGAGGCCGGCATTCGAAGTGAGTCTGACGGCGGCCATGCCCTGACCGTCACCTGGAACCCTTTCCCGCCAACCCCGATGGCCTCCCGTGACCTCATCCCCAAAGTTACTCAGTTTTTGGAGAGAGGACTCAAAGGACCTCGGACCTGGGCTAGGGGAGCCACTCCAAACCCCAGCTCTGACAGACCGGAAGGCCCGGGCTCAGAGCCAGGGACTCAGCCACGGCCACTTCGATGTCCGCAGAAGGCTCAGGACAGACCTCAGGAGGCCCGACCCCCATCTTTGTCCCCTCATGCTGCCATGCGTCTCCCCAGGAAGCTGGGGAGGCTGATATTTGAAACTCTTAAACCACCACAAGCCCTGATTAAGGAAGAAGCACCTCCAGGCCCCTTTTCAGTCCCTCGAGGCTGGGGCTTCAGGAAGCTCAGGGTCCTGCTGGGACCCCTCTCCCTCAGACAAGGCTCTGGTTCCCAGAGCGTTGCGGGGTGAGGAGTGGTCAGCAGTTAGGTGGACAGACACTCTGACACAGGGCCTCTGCCCCGTGGCGCTGAGGTCTACACAGCCCAGGGTGTCCTGGCCAAGACAGGGGTGACAGGACGCCAGAGGCAGGGCCTGAGGGCGGTGGCAGGGCGGGGCAGGGTGGGACAGAATCGGAATGGCTGACAGGACAACACGGAGCAGGGAGACGCAGCTCGGCTGCCTCTTTCCTGCTGCCACGTCCAGCGCCCGGGGGCCCGGGGATCTGCTGACGGCTGCCAGATGGCGCTCCAGGGCCTGGACGGTCAGTGACCGCGCTGTCCCCACCAGCCCAGGGCCCTGACGAGCACAGCTCCACACAGCCTCCAAGGGCCTCACGCCCACCCTGAAATGGCCTTTCGCAGGGGCTTCTCGCAGGGGACCCCCTCTCCCCCCTGCCCTCGCCAGGGCAAAAAACAATGGCAACAACAAACACGGGGCGCAGACCGTGGTGCGACCGAGCTTGGAAGCTGCCGTGCCCGCCCTGGGAAGAACCAGCCGTTTGCATTCCAGGCTGGGAGTGTGGGAGAAAAGGGGTAACACGGAATGTGACCTCTCAGGGTGATCTGATCGTAAATTCCTACCTGGGCAGGTCCAGCGGGTCATGAGTGGCGCCTCAGGCCTCTGTCCCCTTTGGCAGAAGGTTTCCTGCGCTTTTAGCCAGACCTGCTCGTCGTTCCTGGCATCTAGCTTCACACACCTTTGAACTAAGCGGGACCCTTCCTGCAGAGAGCAGGCGACCTCGTTAACCAGCCTGCAGTCCGGTCCCGCCTGGCTCTCTCCCACGGTCCTGTAAGCTTCTGGACATCCCCTCCTTAATCCCAAACGCATGAAAGAAACTGCAGAACTGTCAGCCTCCGGAGCATTCGAGGTCTCGCCCCCCGGCACAGTCAGTGTGGCTCAGATAAACTCTCCTAAAAACGTTCTGCCGGTTTGGATGGGTCTTCCGTCGACAGGGCACGACGCTGGTCCCTTGCGGGGGGCCGGGGGCCGTGCAGGAGGATGTGCCGGGCTCGGCCTGCTCTCGGCCTGGGCAGCACGGGGAGGGCCCAGCCTGCCCTCCGTCCCAGAGCTTCTCGCACCCCGGTCCCCCTTCTCTCCCTCCCTCCCAAGGTCCTTGGAGTCGGGAGTAGACTTGGGCCCGGTCCACACCTGTCCGGCCCGGAGCTACTCAGCCCCAAAGCCTTACTCGTTCCTCCTCATTCTCCTGGTTCTGCCCAGCTGGCAACCCTGGGGGCCTGGGCTGCGAGGACACGGATGAAGGTCGGGGGCACGGGTAGGTGTGGGGGACACGGGTAGGTGTGGGGGGCACGGGTAGGTGTGGGGGACACGGGCGGGAAGTGTGGAATAGCCCAGATGCGCCTGGGCCAGGCTGGCCGGAGGCCCTTTGGGCCAGAACCCGGATCGGGCCCTGGGGCAGTCTGGCCTCCGACTTGGGCAGGGCAGGGCAGGCAGCTACGGGTCCTCCCCTGGAGGGTCAGGTCCAAATTCTTGGCTTTCACCACAGCGTCCTGACCAGGCTAATTACAGGGCTGTCGCCAAGCCTGGCTATAAAAGGGTGGATGAACCGGCCAGGGACCCGAGAGGCTCCCTCGAGTGGCCTGGTGTCCCCCAGCCTGCCCCTGAGAGGCTGGCATTGGCAGCAACCCCCGGGCCTCACATCTCATGCTCACACACAATTTTACACACTTCAGCTCACACCCAGTCACATAACATCACAACCTTGCGACCCCACACAGTCAATCAAACTCCCTGCTCAGGGAGGGGGGAGGGGAGGACGACCCAAAGGGGCCTCAGAAAGGGGGCAGGGGCTCTGTTTACACAGCTGAAGTGGAGGGGCCTCAGCAGGCCAGGGGGGCTGCCCAGGCGCCTCGCACAGGCCACCCCCGCCCCACACCTCGGGCAGGAATGCTGACGCACACCCCCTCGCCTCTGCTCCACACATTCGGCTGCGTGTCCAACACACTTCAAAGCCATACTCACACCCTGCACAAGTGTTGGGCACACGCAGGAATGTCACACCACCTAACAGTCAGAGAGGTTCAGGGGCACCCCGCGCCACGCACGGTCACACAGGGCGATACACTGAGGGCTGGCGACCCACAGATGACAGTCACTGACACAGACCAGGCCGACAGGCCTGAGTAAACAAAGAGTGCTCCGTGCCGGGAAGGGCAGCGGCCAGACGGACCGGACAAAGTCTGGAGTCCGAGAAAGGCTGGGGACAGAGGGCAGTGCCACGTCCACACCCCCGGGGAACCGACAGGTCACGTCGGCAGCCATGTGGGACACAAAATCAACTCCCAGGGCCCCAGGGATGTACCCAGACTCGGCCACCAAGACAGGACGAGGCAGGCAGGGGCTCCTCACGCACAGCCACACGCACACGGACACCGGCCCTCCCCGGGTGGCAGCTGGC